AAAGGATGAGAAGAATAAATTAAATTAGTCAAAAATAAATCTTTGTTTTTGAGTAGTCGCAAAGAAGCCCAGTTTATTATGGTATAATAATATCCCCGGAGCAAATGACCAATGAAAAACTATAAACTACCTGTTAGCGATTTGGATAACCGACTCCAGCATAGATTCATGTAGAAGGAAGTGTCCCATCCATTCGCTGATTACAACGTCGACCTAGAAGAACCGAAGATGGCTTTATTAAAAAATGAAACTGTCATAAAAGTAAAAACAATAAAATACGTGTGCTTTACTTTTTAAAAATCGAAGGAAAGTCTCAAAATCTATTTTCACATCCATTTTTACAAAATAACATCTTAAACGCCAAGACAAAAAGCTCTCTGCGTAACTGTAACCTTGGCATATAACAGAAAAATGTAAGCAATGCATTTTGGCAAATACTACAAATAAGCGATGCAAGATCAGTTAAATTCAAAAGCAGAATTAACAATTGATGTGATTAATAAGGATAATAGATAAAAAACTATCCAATGCATTATAGTTTATTCTAGATGCACTAAGTAGCAATTAATGATGCACAAGTCAGTGAAAATTTGACGAAATCCAAATAGCATATAAAAGAAATATAGCATACCTTGGAAACAGGAAGCTGCGCTAACTCCGCTCTATCATGAATAACTGTGATGAGATCCTCCAGTTTGTTTTCTCTAAAAGAATATAAATAACAGTAAACAAACAAGAAAATGTGAATTGATTTTCAGGGTTTCAGAGTCGGATCTATTAGAATGCGATTTTGCTCTATTCAGCAAATAAGACGATAAGTTGTTCTCCTGACTAATAAACCACTCATCCTTTGGGTTTACCTTTGCTAGATATCTATTTGCACTAATTATACGTAAATTTTTAGAAGTGCCCCGAACTCAAATGAAAATTAAGGGCATATTGAATTATAGTAAGGTTCGCCTTGTATTCCAAAAGCCTTGGAAATCTTGGCCATTATTTATGAGCCATATTATCTAGTAACAACGTTGATACAGACTCCTCCAAAAGCCATCAAACCCACCAAATAACCAGTATTCACACCTTGACAGCTATTTATGCTTCGTTTGCTAGTATATTTAAATATTTCTAAATAATATGCCCGATCATAAATACACAGTAGGCAAAACATCTTAAATGAATATATATAAATTACAATGCCAAGGGTAGTGGACAAAATTATGTGATTAATCAGGTTCAGGATCTGAGTATTGTGAGGTCAGGATACAAATGGGCTAGGAGGAATTTAAATTATTCGTCCGGTTCATAGTTGAAGAGAAGTAGGGCAAGTTTGATGGCAAAATCGAGATTTAATTTAAGGGAAGAGAAGAGTTACAAAAATTTCAATTAGCGAAAAGAGGCCATTTTAGATCCTTCCCAAGAATGTAAGATTAAGGACGAATTAGCCCTAAGAAAAACATTAGGAAATAGTTTAAAAAATAGTAAAAGAACCAAAATTTAATGAGTAAATTCAAATAAATTATCATTTGCAAACTATATAATTTTTGAAATGTTAAAGGAGCAACTAGAGGCAATCAAGTTAACTAACAAGATTGTTTCGCAAGTGGCAGCAAACATTTCAGCTGACGCCTCTACTGCAAAAACATGCTCAGCAGAGGCCTGCGTTGCAAACAAGGAAAGAATTCCGGTACCCGCACCAACATCAAGAACACGCTTGCCTTTGAAAAGAGAATCAGCATTATTGATAATAAAAGTACGATAGGACCCAGAGCGAACGTCATCACCTAACCAAAAATGGTAGACAATAAATTTAGCAAAGGCATTGAAAATGAATAGGCATTGGCTACTCATCGCTTTAAGTTCAGAGGCAAATAAATATACGACTGATGAAATAAGATCCTTACTTAGCATTTCTGCATGGATTCCATAATGACTGTAGGAAAGAAAATAAGATTCATCATCGCCAAAAGAGTTATTAATCGGATAGGAAAGTTGTTTTTCGGCATCGCGGTCTGAAGCTGATACAGGAGTGGGTGATCCCGAACAATTTTGGCATAAGGGCAATGGTTCAGTAATTAGCTCATTCAGAAATCGCCTAAAACGAATTTCGAAGTGATTGTATTTGAGCGTAGGTAAAGACAATTTAAATTGTGAAAAACATACTTGCATGCAGCTAACTGGCATTTTAGCTCAGAAACCAGAGATAAAAGAGACTCCTTTTCGTTTTGAACTGAGCTATTCCCTGGTAAAGATGCACATATTCCATTTGGGAGAAGAGTTTCGATATCTAGATACGCAAGCATTGGTGATTTTAATTGGAAACGAAAATAAATATAACAAATAAAATTTTAAAAGGGTATGATAAACCACGAATAGTGTTGATCAGGTATGTCAAGTGGAGCGAACTAACTCGAATGAGCGGCTACTAATTTTCTAATTAAATTAACTTCAAAATTCCTGATCATATAATTTTAAAGCATAAAAATGAAAATTCGGAAAAGATCATTTGCATCGACTTACTTTAAGTGGGAGTGAGAGACAAGAAAAAGCACTTACCAATCATCAATGCTGAATCGTCTTCAATTTCAGGTTTGAGATATT